TGCTGGAATCCCAGCACGCTCCGGACTTTCCCCAACATTCTCCAAAATGCCATGAGTCGTACAGAAGCTTCATTCCGTCAAAGTCACCGTACATACAATAAATATATGAAATACAAAGTACAATATGTAGTACTTTATTTATTATAGCAATTACATTTTTTGACACAGCACGATAAAGCACCAATCAATAGCGGTCTAGATATGTCGATGAGAATGAGCTCATAGATGAAAGACTTGTAAATTGTAAAATACCACAGTGATGAGATTGAATTCGGATGAAAGACGAGTTACACGTCGAAGTGAAAGTCAAATTTCATTTTAGACTACAGAAAATGCTGTCAATGACAGGGCTAACGTTAAAATCGTCGCGCATCTGCTTCGTTCTTTTCTGGCCATATTTGTTGCACTGGTCTGAAAAATAAAACTTTTATAGTAAAACGGAGAACCTAAAAGGTCTCAGGAAATCTTCACAGAAATGCCAACATCACATTTTCCCCTATCAAGTGGGTGTGCACACAAAAAAGAACTTTTCAGGACACCTTTTCAGGACCACTACCAAAGTTATAGTCTTCACAGAATTTCATGATTTTTATCTAAATTTACCATAGCTACAGCACAGAGACTTTCCATACCAATCTCTTATCCCTATTTTTTCTACCGTAAGATAACCATATGAAAAAGTATGGGTAAGTACTGTAGTACATCTCAAGTTTGAGCTGCACTTTCATCACTTTCATCGACTACTGTCTCTTACAAACATAAACTCTCTCAAAAACCTACACATGCGTCTTGTCACGTCGTCAATTTTTACAAATCAAAACATAGGCAACTTGTTTTTCAAAGTTTGTTCTTCAAATTTTTTCAATTTTTCAAAAAAATTCCTTCGAAGAAGACAGTATAGCAGGAAATTTCTTGAACTGAGGGTTATATCACCCTGCATGCAGAAAATTTAGGAGTAAATGTCATTTCAATGAAGTGGGAGCAATGTTTTTAGGTACCTTCGATTTCCAGATTCGGTTCGATGGATTTCTGCCGGATTGTTGAAAAGCCTTTCAAGTCTTCGCTGAGCTGGACCCCTGTTTTCGGCATTTGGAGATTCCTGGTCAAAATTGAATGGAGGCTGAAAATTAATTCAGTATTGCAAGTTCTGCTATGGTAATCGCATAGGCAGCAGAAGGATCTTAAATGGGAGTTGTGCGATTGCACACAATGTCCTACGAAGTCCGAAATTCCACGCTTATGAAGCCTCAAGACAAATTTTTTGAAATATTCAGCATATTTTGTGTGTAAAAGATGTTCAAAGAATATTCATGTCTTGTCACAACTAAATCTTGTACAAGATATCATAATCACTGTAGGAGCTTGTGCAAGTGCACAATTCCATTTTACCTCCTCGACCACAACTCACTTGATCTTTCTTCTCCATTGTGCCAAACAACGAATCTCTTCTATTTTCTAGAGCACGGATGGTTCCTTTGGTCAAGGTAAGGCGACGTCCACTGCCTCTCGAAGAAAATCCTGGTTCTTGCACCTCGCTGGATAGGGCAAAGAATCTGGAAAGCATATATTTGGTTGAATTCCTGTAAATAGCCAGTTATGTGACCTCTTCTTAAATGCTGCATCAAGT